TTATACATCAATATAATCACTAAATTATAAAAAATATCAATTAAAATTAATTTAATCATAATAAATTAACATTTTCATAAGGTGCTTTGTAGAAAAATACTGTAGAAAATCTACCCCAAACGTATCCTAAGATACTTTTAGGTATCAGGCGTTGGCATTAGGTATACTTGTTTCTCAATCTAAATTTCTTTGATCTAAATCTCAAATGATAACCTATATTTAAAAGGCCAAACTCTCTATTTATATTTTATATCTTATTTTTTTATAGTTAACACTCTTTATAATTTTCACTTCTAATTAACACTTTTTACAATTTGAAATCCATAAAAAACTTAAAATTACCAACAAAATAAGAGTGCAAATGAGGAGTTTCGTCATTATTTTATGGGTTTTTTTTACAAATTTTAAATTATAAAAGTCTTGATTCTAAGTAAAAATTCTTGAGGCATTGGCCAAAATATATATATATATATATATATACAAGACACAAATAGGAGTTTGATCTTTTTAAAACAAGAATGGGCCTAATTTACTAAAAGGTAGAGACTGCCAAGACTGGTTATGTCAAGGACCGTAAGTCCATTGGTTATCCTGGCCTAAGCCCATAAACATGGCTGCAGATTTGCAGTTCCCTTACCTAAACTAAACGAATCAAAACGTGAAGTTCATTTAATTCAGATCAAACAAAGGAGGCTTCGAATTTAGGAATATGTGGAGAAAGTTTATACCAAATCAAAATTACCCACAATCGAATTGAAACATTGTTATTGCAAAAATCTTACTACTGTAGCATTTTCAAGACCATCTAGAAGTCGTTAAGAATTTTTTTACTTGCTATACCTACCATTCCACCTTGACAAAGATTTCATGGATCCGGGTTCATTTAGCAACCATCTACAAGTCATAATAGAATTCCATTTTTTGACCTCTAACTGTCATTCCGCTTCCATTTTGTATGGTTTGTTCATGTATAAAAAAATATTATATCTCAGCAGCATGGTAATGGCTGTAGTGGGATCACAGCATCTTTCTAGAACTTCTTCAAATTCTTTCTAGATTCATCTAGTGATCCTCGACTTCCCAAACTAGCTCAAACCACCAGTGACGTCAGTTCTTCGATAACTGCCAATTAAACAAGCACGAAGTGAAACTTTCTCTATCTTTATCAACCATTTTTCATTGTTTTGTTCTCCTTCTCTACAATTTTTTGATTGACCTTCTGCTTATAATGTGGAAATTGCATCATTTCTTTTGCGTGGTTATGAAAAAAAACATTCTTTTTTCCTAGTTTAAAGCTATTGGACATGGATGAGAGACTTCTACCTGAAAGAAAAGAGAGCTTGAGGGTGAGACTATGGGAGGAATCGAAGAAGATATGGAGGGTTGCATTTCCTGCCATATTAGTTCGAGTATCGGGCTTTGGAATGTTTGTTGTCACTCAAGCGTTCATCGGACAAATCAGTGAGGTTGAGCTTGCAGCCTATGCCCTTATACAGATCATCACTGTCCGATTCGCAAATGGAATATTGGTAAGGATATTCTCTTGTGTTGCAGTATTTGAAGTATGATCCTTTTTCACCAAATTTCACTTTTTAGATTGTATTTTTAACTATATTTTTTCTAAAGCATCTTAGAGTTTTTTCTATAAAAAAAAAAAAAAAAAAAAAAAAGGAGGATTGAACTTGGGCTAAGATTCTGCTTCTCTATATGTTAGTGTGAAGTTAAATACAGGAAATTATAAAAGTTCAAGGTGTATACTTTTTCGTGCTTGAATTTAGTGGCGGAACTAGGAATAAATCATGAGTTGGGCCTTTGTTTTCCTAGCTAGCTTTGAGCACGAGTCTTTTATTCTTGCAAAGAGATTAAAGGTAGGGCTTTCAAGCTAGGACCTTTGTTTTCCTTTGAATCCTTGATGTTGAATATCTCTCCCGTTCAAATTGGGTTTATTTTTCTTTTTTTCCCAAAAAAGAAAATGGCCACGGCTTTGTATTAATAAAAGAGGGAAAGTTACTACAAGGAATCTCTATGGCCACAAGAGCACCCTAGCATATAGAAATTCCCATGTGTTACTACTAATAATTTGATTTAGGTATAAAGTTGTTTAAATACTGATTTATTAGAAAGGAAAATAGCAAAAATAAAACTAGAATATGGTTTTGGCTATTTCTCGTGGCTTTTGAGCATTAGTTATATTATCATAGTACACCATTACAGGATACGATGACAGGCACTAAAACCCGTCTCACCACCCTTCTAAATTGCAGTAACAACCTCCAATCCAGAAAAAATTGAACAGGCACACCCTATCAAACCCCTTGATTTTAGCACAATATGGACTTTGAACACCCACAAAAACATCGTCCATGTTACAACACTGTCATATTCTACAAATAACCAATTGCAACAATGTCCTTAGCAAGGAAAGGTGTCTTAGGAATCGATGACAAAAATCACACTTTGCAGACACCTTCTCCAATTTTTGATTCCAAAACAAACAAAATTTATCTCCACACAGACCCTCACATAAGATACCAAGCAATACTAGCCAGAAAACTAGCCACTACCCCAACCTTCTCCATTGAAACCATCCACCTGAAATTAGTGAAGCTTCCCCACATTGAACCCACTTCAAGCCAGCACCCCAGAAAAGCAACATTGAGCAAACCCTCGTCATCGAGCAAAATCTTATGTTGGGTTGCCTTTAAGCCACATTGCTATCACCTTCCCTTCCAATCCAACCAGAAACCTCTGTGGAAATCCAGCCGCAAATGCCTGCTCTATTCCAACAATTCACACACCAACGTCAGTCTCCTGGTTGCACAAGTCCACTGGCACCAAAAAAACTCCTAGCAAGTCGCCGGTACCTAGTTGCAATTGCAAACTCATCCTAGTTCACACAACCCTTCACTAAAATGGCAAGGGTTCTAAATTGGGCTTAATTTGATAAATTGTTTATTAACTGTTGATGCTGTTTTTGTTTTAGTCTAAAATCTTTATTTTCTTTCAAATTCATTTATTAATTTTAAAAATTATATCAATTTTATTTACTTAACATAATTCTAATAAATAGATTGACGGAGGTCTATGCCATTATTTACATGGTATCACATAAGCAGTCATGTAAGCAACATGTGACTTAGAAACAAATGAAAAATTCTCGCCTCTTTGTTTTCCTAACCTCTGAGACGCAGATATGAATGGTTGTGATTTGGTTTTCCTAACCTAATTAATAACAAATAATTCAATTATAATTTATTTTAATTAAAACAAAATCCAATTGAAATAATAAAAATAGAATTATTTAAGCCACGTGTGGCTTATATGGTAGCTTACATGACATTATGTAAGCGATGACATAGACTTTCTTCAAAATTACTTATAAAATTGTATTAGATAGAAGAAATTGATATAATTTTAAAAGTTAATAGACTTTTTTTTGAAAGGAATAAAAATTTTAGAGTAAAATAAAAAAAATGTCAATAAATTAATAGATAATTTATTAAATTAAGTAATTTAAATATATATTTTTAAAAGAATTAGTTAAAGTCAATTCTACAACACGTGGAGACTTGATTTTCGTTTGTTTTCCTTCCAACATCCATTCTTTTTGTTCAGATAAATTTTCGTAAATAAATATTCGAATTTTGTCATATTTTTTATTTAAAAATCTAAATTTTTAAAATTTTTAAATTAGGTAATAAATTTTTATTTTAAAAAAAAATATATAAACTTTGTATTTCTGCTATTTAAAAATTTATTAGATGAGAATGATTTTTAGATGACTGATGATATGATAAACACAAATTTTAGTTGAAATAGAGTACATTTTGTATTTTTAAATAAAAAATGATAAAATTTATATCTTTAAATAAAAATTGTGAAAATTTACTATATAATTTAGAAACTAAAAAAATTTATATCCTCAAATAAAAAAAATGACTAAATTAGTATCATTGTCTACACTTTTTCTCTTCTTGTCCCTAAACACTCGACGTCTCGTTAGTAGCTTGTTATGGTTTTAGTACCATAATCAAAATAAATTCTTGAATTCAACACTGCAGCAGAGAAATTATTTTAGAACCTGGGCAGAACATGTATAGGCATATGACTGTAGACGAGTTTTTTTATTTTAATTTATTTTTATATTTACTGTTGATGTTTAGAGGTCAATTTTCACATATTTTTAAAGAAATCAAATTTTTTTTATACTAGTGCTAAAACTTAAATCTTGTACTTGATTTACTAGATAATACTTTAACTTTTTGTAATTACAGTGAGGATGTCCTTGGGCTAATTCCTCCCCAAACAATGTTAAGGGCACACTCCACATGACCTAGTGTATTCATTCAAATTAATTTTCCTTGGATACTAACCAACTTGAACTTGGCCTTCAAGACACACTTGCTTACCAACCATTGCAGTTAGATGACACTTGCTTACTATTAGATTTAACTTTTGAGGTTATTTGGCAGAGCTTAATACAAATCTTGTTCTCAAATCTGAAAATTTGTTGGGGGCAAGACTTGACTTTTGTATTTGAAGTGACGTATAAACAATTTTTCCTAAAGCAAATCTCCTTTGAAATTTATTTTCAAAAACTATTACCAATTGATTTCCACTTTTGTTCGGTTTCTTCATTTTCATTTTACAGTTGGGAATGTCTAGTGCAACTGAGACGCTATGCGGGCAAGCATTCGGGGCAAAGCAATATCACATGCTTGGAATTTACCTTCAAAAATCATGGATTATCAACCTCTGTACAGCAACAATCCTTCTACCAGTATTTATCTTCGCGGCACCAATCTTCAAATTAATTGGAGAAGAAGAAGAAATAGCTAACAGTGCAGGGTACATTTCCCTATGGTTCATCCCAGTTCTCTACTCTTTTTCCTTCAGCTTTACCATCCAGATGTACTTGCAGTCACAGCTTAGGAACAGAATAGTCGGATGGCTGTATGCAGCATCATTTGTGCTTCATGTTTTCATGTCCTGGCTCTTTGTCCTCAAATTCAATTGGGGGATTCCTGGTGCAATGAGTTCAATGATCATAGCAAATTGGTCGGTGATAATTGGACAGTTTGTGTACATCTTTGGGGGTTGGTGTCCCAATACCTGGAGAGGGTTCACAGTTGCATGCTTTTCGGATTTGCTTCCTGCAGTAAAGCTCTCCATATCCTCAGGAGTGATGCTCTGGTCAGTTTTCACATTTTTTTTGATGCATCAAAATTTAACTACTTAGCCATTGCAGAGATTTGAATCTCAAACCATGATAGTAAATAGGTTTTATAGTTGTTGAGTACTAATTACTCGGCTTAGCCTGTGTTAATACGCTCTGTTGAGATTTTACAAGATACTTGGTTTCTATACATTGTCAACAGCTTGGAGTTATGGTACAATGCAATTCTAGTCCTCCTAGCAGGATACATGAAAAATGCTGCAGTCGCGATATCTGCCTTCTCTATCTGGTAAAATTCCTTGCACCTGTACCACAATTTACCCTCTTTTTTTTTTTTCTTTTCTATATAAAGATTTAGAAACAAAAGCTGATGTTAAATTCAAACAACATTTTGCAGTCTTAATATCATAGCTTGGGAGTTCATGCTATGTCTTGGCTTCTTTACTGCTTCTAGGTACGGATTCATTTATAGTTCATCAATAACCATTTCAATTAATTTCCACAATTGATCTTTCAAATTCCTCAATGAATTTAATAAAATTCATTGGACAGCGTTCGAGTTTCGAATGAATTGGGGAGAGGAAATGCCAACGCTGCAAAGTTTGCAATCAAAGTCATAGTATGGACTTCAATTATTATTGGAGTGTTCTTCTGGGCTTTATGTTTAATTTTCGGTGAACAAATTGGCTACTTGTTTACAAGTGAAAAAGAAGTAGCAGAAGCTGTGTCACAGCTCTCTGTCCTGCTTTCTTTCTCAGTTCTGCTCAACAGTATCCAGCCAGTGCTCTCAGGCAAGTATATTAGAACATTGGTATTTAACCTTCTAGTTCTTTACAAGGATACCTTAAGCTTGCACAAATAGGGGTAGGATTTTTCCCCGATCTCTATGATTGTTGCCAAGGGGAAAAAAAATTCTTCCCTGTGGAGTGGGAATGGGACAATTTTTCCCTTCAAATTGGAAATGGAATTTTCCCAACCCCATACGACGAGGGCCAAGATCCCCTAAAAAAATCAAAGTGAGGTGACTTATCATATCTTAAAATGTAGCTTGAATTGATTCTTTGTTGTTTGAATATGCAGGGGTGGCTGTAGGGGCTGGGAGGCAAGCTATTGTTGCATATATTAACATTGGTTCTTATTATGTGATTGGAGTGCCACTAGGAGCTGTTCTTGGATATGTAGCCAAGCTTGAAGTCAAGGTTAGAAAACAAATTTTGTTGATTGGAGTGCCTTTTTCATCTTTACTTTCCTTTTTTCTTTTCTTTTTTTCTTTTTTTTACTTGATATAAATTATATAAAATGATAGTGCTCTCTTTCGATGGATCTCTAATACTCATTTTAAAATTTAAACTTAAAACTTATAGTACAATCTCTTAATCACCGGGAGCTTGAGAAGGACACATTGTTTTGGTTTACTAAAGCAATGCTCCTTTACTTGATATGATAGGGCATTTGGATTGGGATGATAGTTGGGGTTGCTGTTCAATCAGCAATATTAGGCTTCATTACTTTTAGAACTGATTGGGAGGAACAGGTAATGAAAGAAATTCTCTTTAACTTTTTCTAATTATATTTAATTTACATGTTATTTACATGAAATATGAAGCTTTTAATTCTTCTTTGTAGGTGAATAAAGCATCGGAGAGAATGAATAAGTGGTTCTTGAAGCCTTCTGGTGATTCTGAAGGAAACCCAGACCAAGAAAGAATAAATGAATAAACAAAATTTGCCCTTTTCTTTCTCTCTTTTTTTTCTTTTTTTGGATTTTTTTCTCTGATTAAGCCATAAGTTCAAAATGCTTATTAATTAATATTAATAAACATTATAAGTTAATCACTTAAGTAGGTAATCTCATCCGATAAAAATAAATTTGAATTATATAGCATGTGAGTAAGAAGGTTAAAGGATAAAAAAATATGTCTCATTTTATATAATTTAAGATCAAAGAAAAAAAAGCATTTAAAAAAATTTCAAATTTTGATAGGCATTATTGAAGCTTTTGAATTTTGCAAACTTAACCTATTTTGACAATAAACATTTACAATTTTTAGTTCTGCAAAAGATGCCCCTTTCAACAAATTGGATCCATTTATCGTAGTTGATTTTCAAATTAAACAATGTTATAATTATGATATTAGGTAACATTGTAAATTTACAATCATGATATATTATTAAATAAATAAATACATACAATATTATAATTTATTTCTAATAAAAAAATTAATTATATAATAATATGTTATAATTATAAACTCACAAATAACATTGTAATTATAGCATGATGTATAACCATATGATTTTTCTTTTCATATCAATGGATGAAGTAATGGTGTAATTACACTATATTTAATAATGAGTTAGTATTAATAACCTATCGGTCCGAGTGAAAAAAGTTTGATTGCCTTTTAAGTAAGATTTCGAATTTAAGTCTCATGAATGGAGAAACAGGAGCTTGAAGAGTTTCCTCATAATGAGATCCAACGCGGCTCAATTTCATATTAGTCGAAACCCAATGTAATTATTGAATACCGAGAGGTTAATACAAAAAAAAAATAATAATAATGAGTTAGTATATGCTTGCATTATTTACATAAAATCATAGTTATTTATGTCTTTACTATAAATATTAAAATTTATTACAATTTTTTAGATAAAAAAATAATTATCTTTAAAAAATAAAATAAAAAATAAATAAATCTAAACCATTCATAATAAAAAAATCAACTATCAAAATTTTGTGTATATATAAAAATTATATATAAATAAAATCTAAACTACTCATAATGAAAAATGAACTGTCAAAAATTTTGTGTATATATAAAAATTATATATAAATAAATCTTAACTCTTTAACAATTTATCATTAGTTAAATTGAAAATCAATGGTTTATAATTTATATAAGTAAACAAATCAATAGTTTATAATTTATATAAGTAAGTTCTGACTCTTTTCATTATCTCTTTCTCTTTATGGAGAAGAATATCTTGAGATAATCATCTGCGCTTATCTGCAGATCTGCCTGGGGCAACATATAACTAAAACATTCAACGTTGAAACAATGTCCTTTTGCTACTATTTAAGATCTTTGCAAGGGAAAAAAATACGCATCAACAAATCAGGAAAAGATTAGAACATTTATGCTTCATGAATGGCTGGTGGTCATCTTCTCAACATATTGTATGCTGGTAAATCTTTCACACTGGAGATGTCTTCCAGTGCAAGCTCCCGCTCTAACTGCGTTCTTGTAGACTTGAGAACATCCTGGAAAA